ATACACACAACCACCCACTCTCCCTAGAGATCACAAGGAGATGGAGGTAGCTAGACTTTGTCTTCGAGATGCTCCCTGACTCATCGAACCCTAGGGTGGCTATGAGATGGAGTCAAGCAATGGATAAAAAGAAAGGAAGACCTAAAACAAACATGGACGTCCACCGAAAAAAAGGAAAGAAAGAGGATGGCCATTGGGACAGATCCAACATAGGTCCCAGGACAGGCAGCAGTGGAAGGCTTTGGTTATGTCTTTATGTGAAACTAGCACACAGAGAATTAAGAAGTTAATTTGATCTTCGAGATTTAATCATCAAGTCTTTTTATGATTATGTGATACCGTCAACAATTACAATTCTGCAGATCCAAATACTTTATAACCATGCATGATATTCGTATATTAAATTTAAAGAATCGGATCCACATGTACAGTGTTTACGGAAGACATTTAGGACTAACAAAAATATTTCAAAATTCGATTATAACGAATTCTTGATTTATTTTTAAAAAACGAATTTAACTCGTTATAGCATATTTTTCAATTTATTCTAACAAATCAAATTGGTTATAACAGATTTGTTGAATTCGTTATAACTACTTCAAAAATGTGTTACAACAGATTAAATTCGTTTAAGGTCAAGATCTAGTGAATGAGTTTAGACTGTATGTTTGGTGCTAATCCATTATGACGTCTTAATTGATTTAAATTCAATTTTTTCCTTTACTTTAAAATTATGTAGAAAATGAAGCATTTTAATGGCATTCAATTTGCAATCATTTCAAAAGTAACCACGATACCTATATTCAATTTAATATTATTTTAAAATAAAGGTCAATGATATAAGAAAAACTGTTTTCTGGGAGACTGTGGGCAATATTGATACATTTCCGTTCCTAAGATGGAAAAAAAATTATACCTAACTTTCTTCATTTTGCATTGAAAATGCCGGTTTAAAATGCGTTTTTGGGTTGTGTTTTTTTTTTTTTTCTTTTTTTTTTTGGTCTTTTTTTTTTTTGTTCGTTTTGTTTTGTTTGTTTTTTGTTTGTTTGTTTGCTTTATTTTTTTTGTTATGTTTTTTTTTTTACCTAAAAATTATGTCCCGATTCACCTTATTTTACAATGCTATATTTGTAAAGGATCATTGAAAGAACTCGTCTCTCAAATTTGAAAATTCTGTAAGCACCTTTCATTTACTAGATCTTGACCTTAAACGAATTCCTAAATTTGTTAAGCGAATTAAATTCGGGTTCAGGTAATGAAGAAATTGTTTTGATTGGCAACATTTTAATAATTTTAAAAAATTTCGTCTGATATTGATACAGTCATGGTGTTGAACGATATCATCACCACGTAAAGTGAAAATTTGGGCTTTCTTTGAAATTTCAGTTGGATGATACAACAGAAATCACGTAAATTTGAAGGATTTGAAAGTTTAGCCAGCGGGGGAAATCAGGTCTAGTTATATGAAGAAATTCGCAGATTCTTTATCAGAAATGGAAATAAATTCGCTTATTAACAGTGCTTTGTCGAAAATACTGTACAATGTATAGGAAATGTTAGTGTTGAGGCAGGTTAAAAATCGATTTTCTTCTCTGTGGATTTGCTACTTTTTAGTTATTTACATTCCTAAAATTTGCTTACCCTGAAATTGTTTTCTCCCATTTTTAAAAAAAATATTTATGGAAATATTGAACCCTGGATACACTCTACTTTGCTTTTTAAATTATTGTCTGATTTTATTATCGTTCCAGTCCGATAATATGTCAAGGGACGGGTAACTATAATTATTGGACTGCTACAGATAAACTCTTGGACTGCAAGGTATGACGTCATAGCAATGTTGTAAATGTCTCTCAATACAAATGTTAAAAAACTTCTATAAATATTAAAAAAGTGGAAACTGCTTTCGGGTTTTTGAAAGGTGTACAAGTCCTTCTCCATATTGATATTATATTTTATGAAATAAGAAAGGTTAATAACTGAATATATTCAGTATTGATTAATTATCTTAACTCAATATGGGAATGTTTTGTTTCCAAATTATCGTAATAAATAAAGGCCAAGACGAATTAAAGACAGATGTGTGGTTTGTTTCACGTCAGTTAAACTTAATTTTTTGTAAATCAACGAGAATATACAAATTAGCGATAAGTTTTCAACACGAGATTCTAAATTTGGCAACCCATATATTTAATTTGATAACCGTGATGAATACATCATTCTTCGTTCACCAGAAAAGACTATTTTTTAGAAGGTCTTTGTAAGGTGTAGATATCGTAAACTATCATTTTTTTAGAGAAGGAAGGCACTTTTATCAAATGAATTATACCATGTATGTATTCCATGCGCTAGTGCCAGAAATAAAGAGAAATGTTCGAAGAATCATTCACGTTTTTTCAGAAAGGTAAATGTTGAAACCTACAAATTCAGGGTATTGGTAGAGCATATTTTTGCCATATTTCTCTCTATAGCAGTATTCAAAGGAGATACGTTTTATCCTTCAAGTTTTCTCACTATAGCAGTATTCAAAGGAGAAACGTTTTATCCTTCAAATTTTCGTCCTTTAATTACTCTAGTCAGGGAATGATTAACCTGATTATTCTTCGCCATAAAAGAACCATTTCCAATAAAAAAAATATATAAATCAATCTAAAGCATACACAAGCAATTGAAGGGAATTTCTTTGCTTCATCTAAGTGGATTACAATAGAGATTTCTGTTAAACTTTCAGAGGATACATAACTACCATAGAATATATTGTAAAGTATTTCCGTTTGATTTAGAAAGTTCAGTTTACGGGTCTTCCTGATTAAATTAACATTTAATTGAAAGACATCAATGTGAATGATTTTAATCTATCTAGTACTATCTAGATGGAACAAAATACTGGTAGAGGAAGTATAATGAAATTACCCATGTAGTATTTATACTAATGTCAAAATTAGAGACATGCAACAAAATATGAAACGATATTCTTTCTAAAAGTAACAAGGAGACCAAAAGACAGAAAATGATATGTATATTAGATAAGTTTTTTTAAAGACGAGAAATAACAGCGTTATTTACATGATTTTTTCAGTGTATTTTTATTATCCAGTGTTGAAACATTATAAGTTTAAGCTCTTCATTTGTCAAGACAAAAAATATTTTCTGTTATCTACTTTTATAAAAAAAAAAAAATGAGAAGATAACTAACAGTCATTATGATGTCAGTCTCTTAAATCCTGTAAAAAATGCTAATCAAAAACAAGGCAGAACATTCCTGAAAATACCAGAAGTGGGATCGTGTACCTATAGCTAGGAGGAAAATCATCCCCTGTCTCAGCCGATCTCAGCCGTCATTGCCTCTCTGTATTGATCAGGTAAACGGATTAATCAAAAGTCCGGTAAAACCAATAGCATTACAACTGGTATGAAATGTCAGACAAAATACGACCCAACGATAGGTTGTATTTACAAAGTATTTACATCATGTATATTTAATCATAAAAACTGGCGTAACGCTGACTTTGAACGAGATTGTTGAAAGCTACGGAGCCCTATAGTGCAAACCAAAATTGGTTACGATTTTTTATTTTGTGATTTAGTTTTTTTATTTTTTGGTTTGCGCTAATGGCCTTCCGTAGCAAGTCCTGAAAAAAAATTTCGTACGAAATGTGGGAATGTCCTTACTTCGTAGTCGAAGGATACAATCGTATTTTTAGTTATACTGTCATAGTTTTCTGATACCATTTTTGAATAAGCACTTTTTCTTTTATTGGGCAGAGGATCAAGTGATATTCCACATTATTTTTTAAACCCTCATTAATGTTTCTTTGTTGTTTAACATCCCTTTCCAGAATTTTTCACCCATATTGAGACGCCACCAGTTGCCGGTGTAGGGTTGCAAATTACACCTGTACACGGCACTTGGGGCCATTGAGCAGTGAGGGATCTTTTTTGTGCCTGCACTTACTGCGACACGGGATCTCAGTTTATAGGTCTCATCCGAAGGACCGGTTTCCACGTCGCACAGTGGATTCGAACCCGCACGTAAGGATCAACTCCTTACGCCGCCACTCCAGAGCAAACCTCTAACCACTGTGCCACGCGGACGCGACCGTCTCATTATGGAGTTGAATTAACTTCTCTTTTTTTCAAAGAATAAAGGCAATCTTCTCATAAATATTTATTGTGTTCTAGAATAATTTATTAATAACAAAATTCAAAAAATAAACCACCACAAATTTGCATACAGTGCAAATTCTTTCAGAGTTTATACGTTATTTTATTTTAATACATTCCAAACTGACAAAGCAGTGTGCATACTGTGGTTTCATCTTTGTTGAACACCAATATTTGTTGTTTTGCTGTTGAATAAGACCATGAAATTAGGTATTCGGTGAACTGTATATTTTAATAATCACAGAATAGTACAAGGTAAGTGTCCGCAAATTATGATATGAAAGAGGTTGTATTTTTGCAGGAACCACGAAATTTGACACTGTCAAAAATTAATGAAACCACAGTACTTATCATAGATGAAAGATTGTTTGTTATGAAAAAGTTTCTTTTAACTGGCATTTCTGTCTACGTACAGAATCACATATTTTCAAAAGCACATTAAAAATCTAGGTTCATTTCATAAATTTTTACATACGTGAAACAATTTTATTAACATATATGTTTAAAACATAATTTGAGATAATTACACTTGATCTACCAATAAATATTTTCCTGTAGACGAAAAAAATATTGCATAATATTTTTTATTTGTCAATATCGCTCATCTGAATATCAGTTTAAAAAATTATTCGTATTTTCTTTTGGTATCAAATGCCTCCGAATGTTATTTCACTTTAAGGGATAGAACGTCACTCATTCAATTCCTTGAAAATTTCATAAGTCGTTTCAAAATAAACCATAAAATACAATGATTTTGCTAAAGTCTATAACTCAATGAAACTCGAACATAAAACTTAAAAACATACAATATATATCTTGTATTTACAGTAAACGATTTAAACAACCCAATTACAATGTTTGTTTCTAATATTTAAGACTTTAGTCCTGACAGAAAATGTATTTGTAGGATGATTAGAAAGAAAGCTTTCTTAAATAACAAAATCTCCCTCTAACCCAAAGAAATATATCGTACAAAATATCATAAATCTAACCGTTACTATAACACATACATACACACACAAAGAGAGAGGGAGAGAGAGAAATACTTAATCTGCTGATTCATATAATGGGACATATTCTGCAAACATAACAAATTGTTTTTATTGATCATCCTACAACTGATAATAGATATCACGTTTCACTAAACGTATATTAAAAGGCACAGTTACTGTATACAGGGAAATATTCGCTCGTTTTATTTTTGCCGCATTCAACCTCGTTGCAGGTGGGCGAATTTTTTAAACGTGGACGAATTCAAAGAATACAGTATAATCTCTTAAATACAGCTGTGTCTGGGAGAATTTAAAACGGGGTTAAATAGTTTGCAAGTGTGACAGGTTGAAAATAACACGGGGCGAAAATAACCCTGTTTACAGTATATGCATGAATAACAGTTATGTGACACAAAGATTAAACAAACTTGGTGTCTGGTAAATACATATACTTGGCAAAACGTTTGTTCTACAAGGCTCAAATAAATGGGACTTAAGGTGTGTGAAAACATGACACAAACATCTGACATGATTTCTGTCTTAAATTCAAAGAAAAAGTGCAACCACTTTTTTTATTGCAAAGACTACAGTCCAAATATTTCTCTTCGTATGTTCACTACAAAGAAAAAGAAAATAAGTTATATAAAACATTGACATGTATATTGAATTTTTAAATAAACAATATATCTACATTTTGTAAAACCTTTTATTCACAAGATCCATAGTCTCACTAGTGTTAATTTTCTCCAGTACCTTTTTCTCAAAACTTCTTGTTTCATTTTTCTCCAACAATTTTGTTACTCCTTTTCCGAAGTCTGCACTTAGTTATTCTTATCAACTTCTCATCTTTTTCACCTGTTAAATACAGTTTTATTAACAATACATTTGAAGGATTTCAGTGTTAAAAGGTGTAATATTTCAAGATCAGTGCTCTTAGCTTTTAGGAAATTTGCTTTTCGAAGAAGTTCAAGTAAGACTCCCCAATTCTTATGGTAATTAACATTAATTGTTCATTAATAATATAAAACAAATCAAATATATAAATCGTACAGTTTTGAATGTAATATCCAAAAAACAACTCCCCCCAAATTTATGAATTAATATAAATATTACAACTTCATGCATGTATCTTATTAATAACCGAAAAAATCTTACTCTTTCTTCATAGAGATGAATTGTTATTCAATCATTTTTTTTCTTCATCAGAAAATCCATTTTCTCGTTCAACTTTCATTTCAATATCTGGATTCTGTTTGTGTTCAAATTGCTAGGGTATTTCATGAGATGAGCAATTTAAGTACATTTAAAGTCCTAAATATCATCTGGTCCGAGTCATGTTAAATATATAAATAACCATCAAAGACTGCATGTACTTTTACAATTTATGTGTATATTTCAACAATTTAACAAAATCACAGGTGCGTCTCTGGCGAGCTAAGAATCGGCTCGCTTTCGGTTGAGACAGGAAGATTCTCATTCTCATTCCCATTGCATATGCAAACTTTCACTTCCTTTTTCGGTTTGACACTGCCAGTTCGCACAATGGAATATTCTGTTTTTAAAGTGTTGGTAAGTTTTTCTTTTAATCCGCCAAATAATGGCCTCATGAGTTTTTTGAACTCTTTTCTGAAAACTTTACCAGTTAATAGATAAATATAAAAGTTTCCTGCGTAATGAGTCAAACCTATTTCTTCAATTATGGTTTTTGCCCAGTAATACTGAAAATGAGCCTTCCATGTATCGGTTATCGTTGGCAAAACATTAATATCACCTGGGGGAAACGTATAGTATAAAGTTACAACGATTGTCACAGGAAGTGTGGTAAATATTTGGTAAAAAGAAACCGCCAATAACATAACTGTCGTTGCTGAATTTCTATACGTCCGTGTATGGAGAGTGGTCTGTTCGAACTTTGAAAGTCTTCGAGCTTCTACGATAACAAGAATATTGAAAAATAATATAGCCAACGGCACTAAAAGGAATACAAAGGCCTCCACACACCAGGTCCATATTGCCCAGAAGGATTCAGTCCCGTTCTCGATCACTGAATGTCGTAGAAGACAAGTTTTGTTCTCAGAATCATACGACCAGAAAAAGCCTTGAATACTGTTAACGCACAGACAACCTAAAGTTGTTCCGATGATCACTAATTTAGCATTTCTTGTTGTGCACCAAGTTTCTCGTTTAAAAGGGTGACAGATACTTATGTATCTTTCGACGGTAAAAGACAAAACAAGAATTGGAGAGAGATATTGGGAGGTCAAGAAAATAATGGGGTAAAATTCACAAACGAATGGTAAATCCAAACATTTTACTTCCCACTTTTCATTCAGTTCATAGACAACTTGTAGTAACAAAAACAAAAGATCCACAAGGGCCAGAGCAGCAAGGTAGTATCCAGAGGAGTTCCGCATGCGTCGCTGGAGCCAAATGAGAAGCGAGAACACGTTTCCAGGAAATCCGATTACGTATGTGTAGGGGGTAACGTATTTGTCGACAGCCACTGCCTCAGGGCAGAAGGTGGGATAGATATTGTAGTCGTAGGCCAGAAGGGTTGAGGACTCATTATAGAGAGATCTTGTAAGATTATTCCCAAGGGTCTCATTTAATGCCATGGTCGTCTGCAATAAAGAAAAAATATGTCAGAAAAAGTATTTATATGCATGTACTTAAAATGAATCCTTAATGTCTGAGTTCCATTGTGATCAGGTAAGTATATTAGCATTTATATTGTGTTACTTCAATGTATTTTCGCTGATGATTCGGCATATAAAATGAAAATAATCTGGACTAGAAGCAATTCCGTTTCCACATAAAATAATAAAAATGAATGAGTTAATTGAGTTTTATATCTTTGTTAGGAAAATACAGCCCCATATCGAAAAGTAATCGTTAGTAGTATTACTAATAAAAAGATTACTGTGATGTAATACAGGAACAAACGAAATAAAAGACTTATCGATATCAGTTACAATCAGTTTTGTTATTATTTGCTCAGAATATTAAAAGACATGGACGTCTACTATCTTTAAGCCAATACCAGCAAACGATCAATTTCAAATGGGTTAGCGCTTTGAAAGTAATATAAAAATTCATAATTAACATGAATCCAAATCATTCTGTTATCTAATAGGGTAAAACTGGATAACGTTGTATACTTTTTTCACAATAATGTTATGTATGAAATAATGATAATATGCAGTATTTTCTTAGACTGATTCACTACAACAAAAAAGTCATCGTATTAATCGACAAGAGCATGGCGAAAAGTGAAATTTATGGTAAAGTATTTCTTCATTTGTAACAATGACAAAGGTAACTATGTTTTACCGCTTAAAATACTATATTTTATGATCGTTTAAGTCATTTAATTTTAGAAAATAAATCTATTTTTTAAATTAAAAAAAAAAAATTATTACATTTTTTGACTGCATATTTTTTTTTTTAACTTTGTCTGATCAAAGGGCGTGAAATAAAAAATAAATCTAGGATTCATCGATATTTTGAAAATTATTTTTCATATCAATCTCCTTTATAACTAATATTTTATCGAACATAACATTTTGCTAAAATAATTATTTGGCATTCTAGAAAAATTTCATCTTAATTTCATCATTTTTTGAGAAACCTATAAAATTTTAAGTGTTTCAATGATATTAATTAAGGCAATTTGTTTGAATTTTTTCGACATGATTTAACTGCTTTGAATGTAATAGGCAAAGACAAGAAACACAGAAAAATAAACTCTCCAATTTAAGTTTTGAAATCCTTTCTTCTATTTTTAAAAAACCGAACTTCTTTATGTACGATATTTAATTTTAGATTACTATTAATTAAAGAAATACTAAGAAGTTATCGAAATACTAAAGAGACATTTTTTCAGACACATTATTTAATAGATAAGAGAGTGGTTAAATATAATATAATATTTTAATAGGGTTCCTTGTTCGAAAAACTGAAAAGATCACTGCATTTGCATTAAAAACACTTAGGACTTTTTTCTTGAATATCACAAATAAAACATTGCATTTTCTCAAAATACGTTTTTAGATAAAAGCTATTTATAGCATTCAAAATTATTCATTCGTTCAATCATGTAGGTAAAATTTAAATTTGATAAAATGAAAGTTTATCACAGAAATCTTGGTCCTAGGACAATTTTTAGATTAAATAGAAGAAGCACACATCTTCCTGTCGGTAAAATTAAAGCTTGATTAATTGCTATTATTGGCTGGTTATATCTAGTACATGTAGGATTTTCTCTCATTTAATGTTGACGATATCCAAAAACCACAAATTATGACCTACATAAAACTTTCACAAAAATGAATCCCTGTCAATTGAATGGACCTCCACTCTAGCCATCCTATACGACAAAGCCAGAACTTAAAATCAAGACTTTTCTATACTTACAAACAGAAAAGAGGTGAATTCCCAGTAAGATCAATGGTACTTAAATAACCAGCACAAAAGTTTTAGTTGCATCTTATCTCAGGTTATGAAGACTGCTGTTATGACGATACAGTGACCCAACGTATCAAAGTTATCAGAAAATATACATTACAGGCTGCCTTTGACTGCTGGACAAATTCTGACAAACCATTTCAGTCAATAAACTGTATATTTGTTTTTAGCTAACAATCTAAGAGCCAATTCACATCCCTCTAGATGCCAAAATAACCTCCTTTTTTTCGGACATTCTTAATCTACGTTTTAGCTTTCTTCTTGGATTTCAATTCTATACCATCATCATTTTCATTTGAGGAAGTTAATTAAATCCTTATATCTTTGATATTGACAAGCAAGTAAACACACTTCAGCAAATCCATCCTTTTAAAGTAGGATCAACAAATATGTATGTAACATTTATATCCTTTATAATATTTCTGTGAATACCAGAAAAAATTACAACTAATCCAAATTAAATTTACTGCACCATGTTACGAAAAGTGTTGATTTCTCTGTATTCATTTTCACAGTTCTTTTGTGGCTTAAGTCTTGTCAACGACTCATAAAACTGACAGTCTATGTTTTTATTATGGCCTTTCGTATTACCGTTAGTGAGTTTGTTAATTATTACCATTAATCAAGTAACCACAAGCAAATTGATAGTATTGGATTAATTTAGTTTTTATGCGGAAATCAATCCAAAAACGAATAAAAACATGATTTTTTTCCGAATGCCTATAGACTTTTAAAAAATTATCTTTTTTATATAATTTATATAAACTGTATAATTTTTTATAGGGAGTGGGACAGATAAACAAAATGACATTAATTTGTAGTGTCTGTCCAACAGTCTTGTGATGTTATAAATGAAATATATGAATATATTAGTATTTAATAAGTGGAGAAAATACTACTTTTAAGAAATGATCTGCACCAATGTAGACATTTCATTCATTTTTCTTCTTTACCTTATATCATATATAATCATTGAATTCTATGAAATTCATTCTCTAAAATAATTATTTCATTAAGATCAGTTTCACAGTAGCAAAAAGTGAGGAAGCGATTTCCAAGCATAATGAAGACTTAGATCAATTCCTTAAGTACATGCACATATGACTATAGTGATGTTCAACTTTTCTAATAAAAATTAATAATATCACAACTTTCAATAGAAATTAGACGCCAATTTCTGCAAAGTCTTCAAATGTACGCATTTGCCCCCCTGTGCCCTATGCCTTCATATATATTTAAATATAATTTATCAATTCTGTACCTTTAGTGAGTCCAAGAATCCCATGCCTTTTGATTGAAAGAAAACATTCCAACAGAAAAAGTAAGATTGAACTGATCACTTGCTGATATCCAATTCAAATGATCTAACCACTCCATAACTTTGTATTCATACTTTAATAGTTTAATGATATGCTGCTAATTTTCGTTCGCTCTTTTTTCACGTACCTCTGGGCCAATGAAATCTTCTATTACATTCAATGTTTCTATCTTCTGTTTTGCAGTAATATTTTCCTCAGGTAATTGAAGTTATTTATATTCAATCTTAACATATTGTGTTTTCTATTTTTGGCTCACTAATTTACACATTGGTGTCAGAAATAATGTACAATGCGGCAGGATGCATGAAGGAATCAGTAAGAAGACGGTAATTTACCGATTTCATTAGGAATAAATGATTTTGAATCTGACGGCTTGTAATGAAATAAAGTTGAACATCAAACTGATAAGTACTTATGATCTTCAAGCAAACGTTATTTATCTTTGAAGTCGTCGAGCAGAAACATCCTTCAAGTTAAGAAATTAATTATAATTAGATAACTTGCTGAAGATATCGTTTCGTTCGTTTCAAATATCAATATACACCTGTATTATCATGAGACAGTACGATGAGTTTATTGCTTGTATAATTGTTTAATTTTATTTTTTTAGTTTTTAAATGTGTCTGACAGATATTTAAAAGAAATTGCCTGTTTAAAAGTTTTCGATAGTCTTGATTATATAAATTTTAAATGTTTACTAATTGCCATGAAAAGGGAAAAAAAATCAATCTGAAATCGCTTTAAGAATTTTGTTGGAAGAGTCCTTTCACCAACAATTCGAGGATGAAGGAAAGATAGCGAGAATTGTCAAATCGTGCGTCATATTAAGAATAATAATCTAAACTTCTCTGATCATTTGAAACACATCTATTCAAGGACATAAGTGAGAAATTATGTTGAAAATAATTGACGCTCTTCTGGAAAAGATTTTTGACTTGGTATGTGTAAGATATAAAATTGCTGACAAATTTACGTCATACAAATGCATAAAATTTTTGACTCAGGTCAGTTGAACAAGATTTTGTTTACAACAGACTGAAAGAGTGTATATACACTTAAAAATTCTGAATTAATTCTGAAATATTATAATGACATGTATTCCGAATTTTTAAATGATAATGTTTCAAACTTGATTAAATATGCGCATTAGAAATTTTCTATAAATTTCAATCTTTCCGACGGGCATATACACTAGGAATACAATCTTTGAAATATGATGTCTAAACTGCAGTTGTTTTGGAATAAAATTGATATCATCAAGTGCGACTGCTTTCTTTAGATGTTCCCCCCTCAGGTGTTTCAGATTACACCTCCAATTTTTAATAAGTAGAAAAGATGGAAATGAGGTCTGGAGAAAAAAAGAACATCAGTCATATTTCTGGAGAAAAAAAAAAAAAAATCAGTCATATTTCTGGAGGAAAAAAAAACATCAGTCATATTTGTAAATCTCTTAGTACAATCTCCTTCTCTGGTAAATGATATACTATTCAAGATCCATTGCTTTGAAATACACTATTGTTGTGTCTGCGTTTATATTCAAGACAACTGATATCAAACTATCAAAATTTGGCCTCAGCAAAGATAATTTAATAGTTTTAACTTCCTGTATCCATTATTATTTTACATACCAACATTCATATTCATATATTTTATCTCCTATGTTTACACTTGAATAAAAAAAGCTGGGGTAATATCTACTCTGAACACTAAAAAACCTCCCTTATTGAAACAAACTTTGTACATGCATTGGATTTCATCTTCAGAAAACGAATAATGTTTGCGTTTTATTCTTTTTTCAAAACTTATATTCCCATGCACTTTTCTATTTCACTTCAATATCAATATATATTAAGCATCAAAAAATTATTTATTTATTTTTCAAAATAACTATTGTGTCTTTACTTGATCAATGTAGTAATGATGACCTATTCATAGTATTTTTTGTACATAATTTCTTCATGTGTTTGCAGTATTGGTATTGTTCTTGAGGAGTCTGTGCATCGACTCAAATTTGATTACGTGTTAGTGAACCTAACATAAATATTTATGTTTTTTTTGATTAATTAGATAACAAAACTTTATTTTGAGGAAATTACTGGATATAAAAAAAATATTCACGGCATAATCTAATGCCATTCATTCTTGTAGACTAAACAATAAAGTTTTTATGTACTCTTGCTTGACATTCTTTGAAAAATCCCTGGCATAATAAATGTTGCTGAATTTGTAAAAGAAAAAATCTATTATTGACCAGCAAAATTTTCACAATTTTTACACATTTTTTCCTGGTGATGGTTCACTTAATTGATTTGATTTATGCAGATCACGGTTTTAACAGTGCATTTACATGATCCTCTGTGTGAGGAACAACAGAAAAATATGCAGCTCACATAGAACTACTCATTATAAAACTTTTGACAGGTGACAATGAAAAAAATAAGTTCTAGTGTCAACATTAACACGAATTCTTACTTGTTATGGGCACTGTCTCATGTTCTGTAATGAAATGATCCCAACCAGGTCTAACAAAACAAACAAGGGGGGTCAAGAAAACGATGCTTTTGAAACATTGCTTTTTTTCCAAATTATATGATTTTTGTCGTTGAGTTAGTTTGGACACAAAACATTGTCTTTTCTTGCTTGTTTTTAGAAATATTTTTTCTTATTAATTTATGGAAGTAATTGCGTAATATTTCGTCAGTTTTTGGTATGTCTCACGTGTCCTTATATTAATAAGTGTGTTGCTACTCATTCGAACATTTTATGAAAATTTTAAGAGAAATCAGAGGTCAATTAAAGCATTTAATTTAATTCTCCACACATTTATCTTTAAGAAAAGCACGAGAGAAATGTACACTACAATGAATTTATACATTCAGATCCCAAATTTAAATCACTTCATTCGGTAACCAATCGGAACTGAGCGGTCAGTAGGTCCGTGCTCGAGTTTTACTGGGGGTTTCATTATTCCAAATATTCGAGAGTGTCACCTTCCTGGTGTCTTTAAGAATCAAGTGACCTACATGCTTTTTAACTGTACAGGTTATACCGACACCTGCCTGGTGTCTTATGACAGTTGCCTGGCGCCCTGTGACAACTGTCTATATAAAGTCAACCGACACCTGCATGTAATTCTTGTTGTACTGCCCCATAAACTAAAATTTATTTAATATACATGTAATTAAGTATAATCAAAACACAGCCAATTTTTGACAAGATGATTCGTGTTATCTAACTTCACATCATTTATTAATTTACTTGCATAATAATTTTTGTCAAATTAAACCAATTATTGACAATATTTTCAATGATTAATTATAATCATCAAACAAAAAACTGGAGATAATTCTTCTCACCATTCAATTCCAATAATAACAAGACATACTTAACATGTAGACAAATTGTAGTCAATTTCAATTAATTTTAGCCATATCTTGGCAGTAGACAAATAATTAGTCAAACTTCACAAACAATGTAATTGTACTTACATCATTGTTATTATTACCAGTCGTACTAAACCAACAGACAATCACAGAACACTTCATTTCAATTATAGATTTATAAATAGTCATTCTTAACTATTAGTTTAATTGTAATCACTTCATTCCAATTATTACTAGTCAAACTTGTCGCCCGCGTGGCGCAGTGGTTAGAGCGTTTGCTATAGAGTCGCGGAATAAGGAGTTGATCCTTACGTCGCGGGTTCGAATCCCACTGTAGGACGTGGAGACCGGTCCTTCGGATGAGACCGTACAAACCGAGGTCCCGTGTCGCAGTAGGTGCTGGCACGAAAAAGATCCCTCACTGCTCAATGGCCCTAAGTGCCGAATAGGTCAAAATTTGCAGGTCTCCGCCGGCAAGTGGTGGCGTCTCCATATGAGTGAAAAATTCTCGAGATGGACGTTAAGCAACAATAAACAACTAGTCACACTTAACCACTAGACATATAGTACACTTTATTCCAATTATAAATAGTCATACTGAATCAATTGTTTAGTTGTAATCACTTCATTATAACAACTCATATTAATAAAAAAGCAATTACAGTACACTTCATTTCAATTATAAAATAGTCATACATAACTACACGGTAATAGTTCAATTGTAATCCCTTCATTCCAATAATTGACTTCCTAATTCTAAAAGAAAAAAATAAATTATTTATTAATTAACGTTATCATAATTATCATTATTTTATTCACAAACATAAGGAGAAAATGACTTGAGAACACGGAATAATCTTACCATAACATGTTCTTCTCTTTGCCGGTGCTTTGTAAATCTAGTGTTAACCTCTTTGGTCAGAGGAATATATATCTAATAATTTAACGCTTTACAAAACTTTTCGTTACACTTAATCATTTATGTCATTTCTTAAGACCATTTGCAGTTAAAAAAAGAAAGAAAGTGCATTACCAAAGTATTTCATGTCATGTCTATTTGGTATTTGGTGCTCTCAGCCAAAGTGGTAGTTTCAAGATTATAAAAATTAAACAGTGGGATCAGTTAGATTGCTGCTTCATTGCACTTTGAAGTACTGATATTTTGCAGAACTTATTCGAATATGGCATATAAATAGAAAATTAGTGTGGGTTGTTTAAAGGTTGGGATTACTTTCATTTAACTTCTGTGTATATAATAAAAAGAATCTTTTTTGTGCAATGACAATATTTTTAATTTAGGATTTACTCTTTTAGTATGCCATATTGCCAGTCCTTCCAGATTTCTGCATTGAGGGATACTTCATTTGGATTTAATTTTTAATTACAAAACCATTAGTTTAATACATAATTCAAACAGATTCTTCTCAGTGCAACAAAAGATAAGAAATAGTTTTAATGTCATTCACGTTTTAGCCTCCACCATACAAAGAAAGGCTCCGAAAAATGATTTTGGGTTTTTCAAAACTGAAAATTATATCACATCGTTACGTGGCCATCTGTTCTTAATTTTAATTGCCACTTTCTGTGGCATATTTAATGTTGGTAATTATTATAGATATTAATTAGCTTTTTATTATGATTATTCC